GAAGAGAGAGATGGAGAGAAGGAAGAGAGAGATGGAGAGAAGGAAGAGAGAGATGGAGAGAAGGAAGAGAGAGATGGAGAGAAAGAAGAGACAGAGAAAGGGATCTGACACTCCGGCAGCAGTACACATCAGCAGGAAGGGAACAGAGACCGCAGAGCGCCAGGCAAACGAAGAGACACATACCTTCTCCTCGGTCTTGGAAAGCCAGGTGTCGATTTCGGCGTTGTCTACATCGTTGCACAGCTCATGGCCGGCCTCCGCCTGGTCCGGGCGAATGACCTGGCAGTACTCGCTCGAGCACTTCATGCTGGCATCGTCGAAGGCCGCGCACGCACGGTACAGTCGGACCCCGAAGAAGCGGAACAGCGGCTCGCGCGACAGCTTCTGCACCAGCGAGTGGAAGGTCTCCGACGAATCGCGCAGACGCTTCCCCGGGAACACCAGGGCATCCAGTGTGCCGATGCTGGCACACAGGGGATTGGACTCCTGGAAGAACACGAGGCCGAGGGTCAGCACGCGGGAAACACCCGGCAGCCCGGCCGCCGGCGGAGGGCCATGCCGAGCAGAGGCCAGGGAGGGTGGGAAAGAAAAGAAAAAGAGCAAGAACAAGAAGGGAGAGGGCCAAACAGAGCCGGACAGCAGCTCGAAGGAAGCCCCGCAACACCACGCACACTTTCCGACGCGGCCAGCGTGCAGAGACACGGGCAGGGCGGCGTGTCCAGCAGGGTGTCGGCCGGCTCGGCCTCGGTGGCCGGCACCACGGGCGGCCGGATGTCCACGCCGGCACCCGAGCCCCGGGACGACCCACGGCGACTGCCGGAGTAAATGCGCAGCCCATTCGGGTCGATGGTCACCGTCTGATCGGACAGCCAGGAACCCGGCACACAGGGCAGGTAGGAGGGGCTGTCCGGCCGGCAGCGCGCCCAGGCCAGCGCGTCGGACACGATGCCCGATGGTGGCGGGGCCAGCTGCCGGGCCAGCAGCCCGGCCGACAGGACCACCAGCAGGACCACCAGCACCCAGGGCCACCGGGCCGGCCGGGAGGCAGGAGCCGCCGGGCCCTTGCTGCGCCTGGAGGGGGGAGCCCGGCCGCCGGGCCGGCCCGGGCGCGTGCTCAAACGCTGCGCCGGGTCCGGCGTGGCCGGCGCACTCGCAAGCGGCGACGTCATGGCAGATCGACCGCGATCGAAGCGGGAGGAGGGGGAGGGAGAGGGAATCTAGGGCAGGGGGGTCGACCGGGAACCGCGGGGGCCGGGGACCATGAGAGCGGGGCCGGGGAAAGCGGGCGAGCCAGCGCACGCTCGCGCACACGCGGACGATGCAGAGAGAGGGAGAGAGAGGGAGAGACGCCGGCGCCGGCGGCCAGAGGGAGGGGGCGAGGGAGCGTGTGGAGGGGGGAAGGGCAGGGTGTGGTGGGAGGCCAGCCGCGGCGCTCGTCAAGGGCGGGGACGGGGAGGAGGCGGAGGGGGGAGGGGAGCCATTGTCCGGGCGGTCCCGGTCGGGCACGCGGGCCCGGGTCGGCCGGTGAAATCTCCGGCCGCCTCCCGCGCCCTCGCTCATTCATGCCAGGGCCGGCATGTGCCGGCTGGAGGGGCTCCCGAGAGACCGGCTCCCGGGGGGGGGGGGGGGGGCGAGCCGACGCTGGTCTCTTCCCCGCCGGCGACCGCCGGGCGCGATTGATATGTGGGAGGAAATAACAAAAGGGGGGTTTTTGCGGATGTGGGCACTTTCCGGCCGGACAGGGGGTCAACGTCCCCCCCCCCCCCCCCCCCCAGCTTCCTGGGCGCCGGCCCCAGTGGCATGGCGGCAGGCCGATGTGCGGGGAGGGGGGCGGGGGGAACAGGGACCGGGTGCGGCGGGCGCGTGCTTCTCGCCCGGGCCCGCGCGTCCGCGGGCGGCTTGCGCGCCGGTCGGCCGGTCTACCGCGGTCCGGGCGCGCTTCCGGGGCCAGGTCACCACGGTCGCCGGCGGCGATCTCGGCCGTGGGGCTTTATCTCGCCCCCCCCCCCCCCCCCCGGCGCCCCTGAGCGCCAGCCTGCACGCCAGAGGGCGGCTGGCCATTCGTCCAAATAAAGAAATCCGCGCCCGCCGGCCTCCGGCCCCCACCTCCTGCAGGTGGCACTTCTTTCCGGGGGACCGACGGCTCGGGAAAAGAAGGCCCTCGTTAACGGGCCCAAGGCCCTGGTTGTGACCACACCGGCCAGGGCGCCGGCCGCGGTCCTTTGTCGCCGCGGTCGGGGGAGGGAGCGTCCCCGGACGCGCACGCCGCCAGGGGCAGGGCAGACTCCGGGGCCTGCGCCGCAGGGCCTGTACGCACGGCCTCGCACACCCACCCGGCACCTGAAACACGGGCGTCTCTGCGCGCGTGCTTCGTTTGGCCGCCCGCCGGGCCGGCGCCGCCAGCGGCCGCACCCAGCCCCTTTCGCCGGAAGGGCTGCGGGGTTCGGGGCGTCAGCTCTGACGTGCCCCTTGAGCCAGCGCCGCCGGCGGCCGCCCGAGCGCATTCGAGCCCATTCCAGCGCAGGCCGGCCGGCCGGCCGGCCAGCCGCTCGCCCCTCCTCGGCGCGCCGGTCCCCCGCCGCCCGGACCTCCGGCGAGCGGCCCCCCACCCCCCGCCCCCGCGCAGGAGGAGGCACGACGCGCCGGGCCCCCCCCCCGAGAGCGCGAAGCGGCAACACGCCGAAAAGCCGCAGTCAGTAGCGCCCCCCGGCCGAGAGTCGGTACCCCTCCCGCGGGATCGGCCGCGGACACGCCGGCCCCCAGGCGCCGGGCCCGAGCGCGTACACCGGGCCCGCTCCCGGGCGAGCGCACGACAGGCCACACTCTCCCGGCCGTGTGTGGGGAAGCCGGGGGCGAGCCCGTCCGCGCGACCGCCCCCCAGTCCCCCCCCCCCCCCCCGGCAACGGGGGAGTTGTGTTTGCCTGTGTGCGCGCACGTATCGGCGGCGCAGTGGGACGTGGGGCCCGGAGCTCCGCGCTCCCGGCCCAGCCCCAGCCCCAGGTTCGAGCTACCAACTAGCGCTTTCACGCAGCGAACCCCCGCGCCGGCCCCCCGGAGCGCCGGGGGCCATCTGCAGGGGGCCGCTCCTTGCCCGGCCGGGCGCACCGGCCTCGCCCTCTCGCGGTGGCCGCCGCCGCGGCCCGGTCCGGCACATCGCCGGCCACCTGCTGCCCTGTGCTGTGGCATTTTTGCCGGGCCGTCCAATGGGCGTCGCCCACCCGGGCCGGCCAGCGCGCCTGACAGACCGCCCATCACGGGGCGCGCTCGGCAGGAGCAGACCCGGAACTGGGAATGAAGATACGAGTCCAACAGAAATAGCCGAATAAGGTTAACATTTATGTTTTCGACGTCCAGAACAGCTGCAGATCATTAACCAGCCACTCGAATCTGATAGCGTTAGCCTGTAGATCGTTAACCATATGTCTGTTCTGTAAATGCCACACATTAACTGTTCTTGACATGGTCTATTCTTCTCATCCACCTCCCTGGTGTGGCATAGGCCCGGACCTCGGCTGCGGAGACGCCTGGCGAGGTGGCCCTTTGGCGGTTTGGGCCACCGCCGGGCTGGCCGGCGGCACGATCGGGCAAGATATACCCACCCCACCAGACCCGAGCCACTCGCTTGTGGAGTCGCTTGGAAGAGACCGAGCGGACAAAAGTGCCCTCTTCCTTGCGGCGGCCCCACTTCTTGGGCAGGAGGAGGCGTCTTTTTTTTTTTTTTTTTTTGCCTTGTTCATCATGGAGAGGGGGATATTTATTGCTTTTTTTCTTTCTGTCGTGGCGTTTCCCTGCTAGTTCCGGTCTCCCACCGGGGCCGAGTGTGCTGGCACCTGGATGGAAGGGAGGGGGAAATCGAAGGGAGAAGAAGGGAGAGGAGGAAGAGAGGAGGAAGAGAGGAGAGGATGGGGAGGGTGGGGAGAGAGGAGAGAGGGGAAAGAGGAAGGGAGGGAGAATGCCGGCAGGCTGTATGCAGGAGTGGAGGTGGATTGCATCTCGGGCGGGGGCAGAGGGACACGCCGAGGCACGCGCCGAGGCACACGCCCGAGAGAAAAAGGACGACCGTGAGTCCATCCGCTCGCTGAGGAAGCAAATCCCCAGCACAGGCCCCCCCCCCCCCAGCCGGCGAACCGTAGAGCCAGGCAAAAGGGGGGGATCTGGCCCGCCGGGAGGGAGCATGCAGCGCACACGCATCGAGGGCCCATCAGTCGTCCTTCTTCTCCTTCTGGGCCTGCTGGGCGGCAAGCTCGTCGGCCTCGCGCTGGACATAGTCATCCCAGCCGATGAAGGGCTTGAAGGACTCCAGCAGGGGAATGTCATCGCGGTCGGCATTCGGGAAGAGGGTCAGGGCATGGCGGCCATCGGCCGGGTAGATGTAGCGAGTGCCGTAGTAGAGAGCCGGCCGGGCCACCAGCAGGGCCACCAGCAGCACGCCGGCCAGGCCGCCGACCGTGTAGAGGGCCGCCATGCGCAGCCAGTAGGGCCAGACCGCGAACAGGGGGATGGCCACGATGAGGCAGATGACAATGAACACTACGCTCGCGATGTGAGGGGGGAGGGAGGAGGGAATAGGGAGGCCATGACAGGCAGCGGGCCCAACGGCAAGGAGACAGGTCAGAGGGGATGCCGGTGCAACCAGGGAGGAGGAGGAGGAAGAGGAGAGGGAGGAGCGATGCCATGCAGGGCGCCGGGCCCGGCGGCCATGTGGGCACCAAAGCCACAGACAACAGGAAGGGCCCCTCCTCTCGCCCGCGCCCCGGGAGGAATGCGGCGAACGGGGCAAGAGAAAAAAAGAAAAAGAAAACCACCGCGCGACCAGCCACAACGCACTGTAGATCACCGACATGAAGGAGGACTCCTGCACCAGGAAGACATACACCCCATCGTCGCTCATGTGGTCCCCGTCATAGATCTTGAGGGAGATGCGCTCGCGCACGCGGTCCGGCTCGCCGGGGATCTGGCTCTTCTGCCGGACCAGGTCGATGGTGGCGATGCAGCTGTCGATGAGGTCGGCGTTGCGCATGCGCGCCAGGGTCTGGCGCACGGCCACCGCAAAGAGCCGGATGCCGGCCGGCTGGGGAGGCGGGTTCTTCGGGTTGGCCCGGGCCGCCGCCTCGTACTGGGCCACGGCCTCCTGCATCTCCTTGCGCAGGGTCTCGGCATTGGCCACCGGCAGCAGCGGCGCCCGCGGGCCCATCAGGCTGTTCATCGCCTCGTTGACGGTGAAGATGCGGAAGCGCCGGCCCTCCAGGATGCCATCCCGGTGGGGAATGGCCTTCTGCAGGTACCGGGCCACGGCCATCAGGCCGGGGTCGACGGGCTCGGCCGCGGCGGCGGCACCGCCAGAGGCAGCGGCCGCGGCCGCCGTCGGCGGCGCCACCTCGGCCGGGGCATGGGGCGACTTCCCATCGGTGTAGATGGAGGAAATGTCGGTGAACATGGCGCTCAGACTCCCGCGTGGAGGCTAGGTCTACATGTGTTTCGCGGGCCGGGGGG